CATACAAGTGTTCACTGTTAGAGTTGGGGGAATTCTAATGGAATTACAACAACTGTATACGCATACAAGTGTTCACTGTGAGAGTTGGTGGAATTCTAATGGAATTACAACAACTGTATACGCATACAAGTGTTCACTGTTAGAGTTGGGGGAATTCTAATGGAATTACAACAACTGTATACGCATACAAGTGTTCACTGTGAGAGTTGGTGGAATTCTAATGGAATTACAACAACTGTATACGCATACAAGTGTTCACTGTTAGAGTTGGGGGAATTCTAATGGAATTACAACAACTGTATATGCATACAAGTGTTCACTGTGAGAGTTGGGGGAATTCTAATGGAATAACAACAACTGTATACGCATACAAGTGTTCACTGTGAGAGTTGGGGGAATTCTAATGGAATTACAACAACTGTATACGCATACAAGTGTTCACTGTGCAGTGTTCACAATACATTATTGAAATATATAATTCCCAGCTTTGTGTTTGTTTTGCGACACACTAATCCTGAAATTTGATGTACAAATCAATAATTCAGAACTAATTAAATATAACACCTGCCAAACCAATGTAAATCACTACTATTGTTATTATTTTATTTTAATATTATCTGTTAATATGTCCTGTTGTAGGCACATATGGCTAGTAATGATTTTAAAATAATTTATAAATAAATTGTGGAAGCAATTTCCAATTAAATTTGATTTCTGATATTGTTTTGCATGATATAATAGCATCTTTAATACACATCACCCAAATTATATAATTGTAAGTTTTAATGATAAAAACATTTTTTTAGAATTGCTTTCTTATCAATAAAACAGCAGTTTATTTTTTACAGAGTTCTTGAAGATCTTGACAAGTGTAGTTCTGGTCCATCTTATCATCTGGTTAATGTATTGTTTGGTGTGATACCGATAAGCTCTCCAAACATTCATCTAGACTATGGAGATTCGACTCTGCCAGCAAAAGGTCAGTTGATTCAATTCTCTATAGCAAATTTTAAAAAGTACCTAAGTTGTACTATCTAGAAATATATGGCTACACAGGATTTCTTTCAATTCTGTTCACTTTCTGTTTTCTGGAACCAGACTGTAAAAAATAATTTGTGTATTTGTAATCACGGTTACTAGATTGTTGTAATAAAGCAAATATGGTTTAGTTTAATTTTTACAACCACAACCTCAACCCTTTTTAATTACCCACATGTCAGTTCAAGCCTATCTATACCACACTTGTCTCTAATTAATTATGCACATATTTAATAAATAACTTAAATATCAACAGATATACAGTGTATAAATACACAACTCGATGAATCTCAGCGAGAATCTGTCCGGTTTGCTCTACAGCAACGAGAAGTGGCAGTCATACATGGACCACCTGGTACTGGTAAAACAACGACTGTTGTGGAGATCATTTTACAAGCGGTTAAACTGAAAATGAAGGTAAGAAATGAGTTCAGTACGTCTTCCTATGTTGATGAGAAACTAAACTGAATGACTTGCAAATCAACAAAATAAAAAGTTACTGTTTAAAGACAACAACTACTGGTATTAAGATTCAGTGATATTACACAAAACTATGCATCCTACCATATTTGGAAATAGGATTTCCAAATATTTCCCAGATGACACATGTGTCCTACGTCAAGAAGTTGTATAATGAGATGTATCAGTATACCATATTTCTTCTAATAGAATCACATATAACATATTTGCTGTATTAAAAGTGCATCTGTAATAGAATCACACATAATCAAAAAAATTGTATCCAGGATCATAAAAACAGTTTTTGACCATAGACAGTTATGTATATAAGCACGTGGGCTACTAATAGAGTGAATATGGTACTAATAAGACTATAAAATGGATATCGCAAAGTGTGCATTTAGACGGTTCATTTTCTAACCAACTTGCCACAAAGTGAGATCAGAGATGATGTAGTAAATTAGTAATACCGGATTCTGCCATAAATTTGCCCATCCGAAAATTCGCCCTCGGCAGTTTTACGAATGGTAGGCCCTTATTTGGGGTACAAATTTTCAAAAAATTATCATCAAATATTTTTAGGGGGTTTATATTTTCATTGAAAAATCCACATACGTCAATTTTTAACATCGGCAGTTGGACCACCCAAAACGAAAGAAACTATTGCAGAAGCTAATCTAAAATTGTATACATTTTTTTCTAGCTGGATTAAAAAGTAGACTGTGCATCTTTCTCTGAAAAATTAAAATCAACGAACCTTGTGCGCCAAATACAATTATTTTGTTTCATTTTGTTAGTAACGAACGTATATTCTGAAAGAAGTTTCAAATAACAATGAATACAACTGCATTTCTTAGTAGCAAACGATCACAGTTGCGCAATCCGGTCATGCTGTGTTTCACAATTGTTGATTATTACCTACTAATGATTATAATAACGTGCAAAAAATAAATTCGTTGAATTGTTATGAAATGCAAATAAATTTCAACTTATTTCATTGTAAGAGAACGATTCCGATCACATTTTCAATGCTTGATAGAAATGAATATCTGCCATGTTTTGACCTGAAATGGTGTTCTTTGACCTGACTGGTCAAATTGATAATTAACCAATGAAAACGATGGATGATGCCAAAGTGTTCAAATTACCATAGCTCATTTAAATATGTTAATGTTATTGAACGCAGTACGGAAGAGATTTGCCAATGTTGTTGTACTATCTTTTGGCTTGGATTTTAATCGGATAGCGGCATGATTTGTTTTCAAATAAAAAAATTAGTTGTTTTCAAAAAATAAACTGAGCATTTGAAGAATAATTTAACATTGTTTACAGCGATAACTGTTCATTGTCAAAACGAAGCTAACCCATTCACACTACACCAATACTCTTGAATATTCGTCAATGACTATGGCATCAGAAAAAAATAAAAAACAGCTGAAAAATCACCCTGGTCGGTTTCTTGGTCCCATTTTATTTTTTTTTAAACCAGAACTGCTGTTTAACGACCCTTGGCAAATTTACGGCAGAATCCAGTAGTACAGATTTGTGTTGTCATAGGTTTTAGCGTGTGCACCATCCAACGTAGCTGTGGATAACTTGGTGGAGAGATTAGGAAAACAAGTGAAAATTGTTAGACTTGGTCACCCTGCTAGACAGTTACAACACACTCACAAATACTCTCTGGATGCTATATTATCACGAAGTGACGGGGCAAAGATTGTACAAGATATAAGGAAAGATATCGACAAATCACTGGTAAGAAATCAAGATTAATTCTCAATTATTGTCTTTTAGATTTCAATCTGAGATTTGGTTTGAACATTTGTCAACTATCAACCTTTGACATTATAAACTTGCATAACTATTTTCAATATTTTTTCCAATATTTTTCATCAGTCCCCACTACATAGTAAATGATGTCCATTTGATTCAAATTAACAATGAACTTGAATGGATGTTGAATTATTGCTTATGAAATCATTTTTAAATATTACATTATTTTGATGCAGTCAAAATGTAAGAAAACAAGAGAAAGGGGAGAGAAAGAAGGCCTGAAAAGAGAAGTCAGGGATCTGAAGAAGGAATTACGACAGCGTGAGGCTGCTGCTATTAAAGATGTCCTGATAACAGCTGATGTTGTCTTGACAACCAATATTAGTGCATCACTTGATGGACCATTGAAACAATTAAAAGCAGATCACTTCAGTCTTGCTGTAATAGATGAATGTGCACAGGTGAGAATGTCAATATGATGTCAGTATTATTAATATGTCAGTATTATCAATATGATGTCAGTATTAACAATATGATGTCACTATTATGAATATGATGTCACTATTATGAATATGATGTCACTATTATCAATATGATGTCACTATTAACCATATGATGTCACTATTATCAATATGATGTCACTATTATCAATATGATGTCACTATTATCAATATGATGTCACTATTATCAATATGATGTCACTATTGACAGGATGTCACTATTATCGATATGATGTCACTATTAACAATATGATGTCACTATTATCAATATGATGTCAGTATTATCAATATGATGTCACTATTAACAATATGATGTCACTATTAACAACATGATGTCACTATTATCGATATGATGTCACTATTATCAATATGATGTCACTATTAACAATATGATGTCACTATTATCAATATGATGTCACAATTAACAATATGATGTCACTATTATGAATATGATGTCACTATTATCGATAGGATGTCACTATTATCGATATGATGTCACTATTAACAACATGATGTCACTATTATCGATATGATGTCACTATTATCAATATGATGTCACTATTAACAATATGATGTCACTATTATCAATATGATGTCACAATTAACAATATGATGTCACTATTATGAATATGATGTCACTATTATCGATAGGATGTCACTATTATCGATATGATGTCACTATTATCAATATGATGTCGCTATTATCGATATGATGTCACTATTATGAATATGATGTCAGTATTATGAATTTGATGTCAGTATTATGAATATGATGTTATTATTATCAATATGATGTCAGTATTATGAATATGATGTCACTATTATCGATAGGATGTCACTATTATCGATAGAATGTCACTAGTATCAATGTTACTTAAAAATCATGAAATTTACGACAATGAGATAAACCAGGGCTCTCCATAATCAATTCCAAATTGAGAGAACAAGAGTAATTTATATTGTACCTTTCCACCTACATGTTGAGAAAATAGTATTTTTCAGCTGAATACATAGTTTGATGAGCTATTGTGACAATGGTTGATTTTCTATTGTCTGTTGACTTTGTGGGTGACTAATTCTTTTTTAAAATACACTGAACTATGTGACTTGGTTTTGTTAATGAAATGTTGATGTGCCTATACCAAATATTCATCTTATTTGAGAAGTTCAAAAAATTAAAACAATTTACAGTAAATTAGATGGATAATATTTGAGTACAATTCCAGAAATTATCAGATTTGTTATGTTATTCATTACTTTTTCACTTTTTTTTTATTTTCTCAAATATATTTGCATACAATTACTGAAAATAGATTACTTCAAATTTATATAATAATAATATATTGGTTATTAATTATTCATCAAATGACTTCTTGATTGTGATATTAAACCGAGAATTCTTGCCTTCCTATCATGAGAATGCACCAGTACTGACATCTGAAACTGAAAAGTACTGACCCATTTGACTTGTAATCAATCAGAGGTAGAATTCCGACAGGGTATGAGATGAAAGTAAACAATAAAAACAAACAAAGTCTCAGTGTGAAAACATAAACATTGAGGTTGTTTTATGTAAACTCAGTCAGAATTCTTGTTGTCTTTCTACTTAATTGGATCATACCTCTCCAGTTGTCTATCTTGCTGGTATTTTGATTAGAGTCTTGCTCTCTGGTATGACGTTACTTGCAAAGCTCAAAAAATCAATTTGATTTTGAAAAAGCATGTGCACGAAAAAATAATTAAAATTAAAAATCGTGGTTTATGAATTTGAATTCACAGAAGACAAATTTAAACAATATTAGTTCACTGGGTTGGTAAAATGATTTGTTCACAATGCATGTTAAATTTTGGGTAAACAAATGATTTATTATAAATCCCAGATTCAATTGTGCAGGTCCTCGTCATTTCATGTTTTTACAATTTGAAAATAACTTATATTGTGTATTTTACATGTGTTGTATACATCACATCATATTGAATACAATGTGGCATGGTGATGAGCTTTTAATAGCCGTACATGTATCTAGCATTTTAGTAGTTGTAATATGCCTCATTGGTTATTGAGTGCTGTACAAGAATAGCATAAAACATACATGTATTTGACTATAGATCAATATTTCCATGGTATAACTTAGACCATTATAAAGATTGTTGAATTCAGTCTTGTACATGTTTGTGTACATTGCATCCAAGTAAACACATTGCTCTGTGAAAGTTATCCACATGGGGTACCGGTAGTCTGTATTTACAGTAATCTTATACCATGCTGAACCAAGTGATATGTTTCATAAATAAGCTCTAAATTTCACACTACATATATCAATCATGAATTCTCACCTATATTTGATTGTGCAGGTCCTTGTAATTTTTACAATTCAAAACAGAACTTATTTATAATTAGTATAAAGGGACTTTTTTTATATGTTTGTAGGCATTAGAAGCCAGCTGTTGGATTCCATTATTACAAGTACCAAGATGTGTGTTAGCCGGGGATCATCAACAGTTACCACCTACAGTTATATCCAATCAGTAAGTGTCTTGCATTTAGTGATGAAATATTGACCAATCAAAGAGTGTCTTGTATCCACTGAAGCAGTATTGTCAAATCATAGATGGTGTTACATATTCCTTTTTCATTATATTATTTTGTTACATGATTGTTATTGTATTACCAGAACATGAATGAACTTTTCATCAAAATTGATAAACCTATATTGTGGTCAAATTTGCGTACATTGTATTTGTAACTTTTGGGCTGCAGTTTTGTTTTACTGTATTTTATTGCCAAAATTCTTTGTGCCTGTTGGAAAACATTTATTTTGTGATTGTTGGCATAAGGTGAATTTGGTTACACTGAGTAATTGACACATAAACATTAAAAACAATGTTACAATTCGGGAAATTAATAGCTACAGTATTGCATAAATTACCTCACTTTCAACTCATAAATTTTGCTTTCCTGGAATAAATATTTGGATTGTTTTTAGAGCTTCTAAGGATGGATTATCTGTGAGTTTGATGGAGAGAATTATTGACTTATACGGAGATGGTGTGGTAAGAATGTTAACAATACAGTACAGGATGAATGCAGATATCATGAAATGGTCATCTCAACGTCTCTATGATGATAAGTTGCAAGCCCATGAGTCTGTGGCTTCTCATCTATTGAAGTAAGAAACGCTTATTTTGAAAAGAAACACTTGATGTTTCACACCATAACAAGCTTATGTATCAATCCATAAGGCACCCACATTTACTGTGGTATATTACTTAAATAACTTCTTCCATTACCTTACAAATTTGATAAAATATGTCAGATTTCTTATCAAAAAGTATTATAATATTAATAAATTTATTACTTTTACAAAGTGCAAAAATGCAGTTTTTAAGAACCACTTTGTCCAGAGAAATTTCCTAAATTTTGTCACAGGGATTTGGGATAAATTGCAACCTTGTTTGTTTCACTGTAACCCAGCTTTTGCAGTAACTCACCTTTTGCCATTTATACACATACATAATATTTTATTTGATTGAAAAAATAACCAAAAAAAGACCAAATTACAAAACAACAACTCATAGGTACTCTAACTACAATGTGTTGTCTGCTTTGGGTAGTCTGCTTGGTTTATAAGTTGCCAATATCCATAGGGGTGATAGGGCTTTCAAACTAATGTGATGACATTTCTTACAAATTATACTGCACTTTTTTGTGAGTCTTGGGTACAGGAATCAATTTTATATAGATGATTTCATTTTTTTATATATGGGGGGGGGGGGGGCATAATACCCACCCCTCTAAATAATAATGTTTAATGCCCAATATATCTTTCTGAATATTGATACTTGGTGGCAATCTTCTGTATTATGGAAATTTCTGGCTTAATGTGATTTTGGAGTTACTGGTATGTATCTTTAAAATCTGTAGGCTTGACTAGATTTATGCCTATCGACAGCTGATTCTGTTACGACTGATGAATACGGGCTATAACACCAATTTTGGGGCTTATTGTTTTAATGTTTTTTTTTTCAATTTAGAGTGCAGTCAATTGTCAAACCAAGATATGTCACTATAGCAACACCCTCTATCTGGGAATTTTCTATTTTGAAAGTGCCCTCTAGTGCTATTTTTGTGTTTGCTGTTTTAGGAAACATGTAATTAGTTATTTCAGTGCTTATTGTGAGTTTGTTAGCCTTACACCACTGTGAAACTGTGATGCCCACTGTTTTGGAATTCAGCAGTTAAAGTGTCAAGATTAACAGTTTACTACATCACCTACTAGAAATTCTATGGAATAATAAATTCCATTTATTACTCCTAGGCTTACCTACAGATTACAGCCCCGATTGGAAACTATTAAGGAATATACCCTGTTCACAAAAAACACATTAAGGTAGCATTCCCTATAGAAAAAAAGGCCTCTTCTAAGGGGTCACCTTGCGGGGTGATCACGTGTAAGAAGCTTGATCCAACATTCTCTTTTGTTTCTGCTTACAGCGGCAGCTATATTTTTATGCTCCGCTACTACAAGCATGACAAGAGGCAGGTTACAGTTACTGACTGAGATTATCTAAAGTTTCTAGTGTGGTGATCAACTCCATTACAGTAAAGGCTTTCCATTATTAGGGGCCCCCTTTTTACCTGTTTGTAGTTGAATCATCGGCTCAGTTTATTTTCACCGAATTCCGATTTCTGGCGCGGTGAATTTACACGTTTTTAGTCCTCATTCAGACGAAGTCCGAAAACGGGAACTTATAATTCGGTCTCTGTCCGTCCTTTCATCTGTGCGTTCGTCTGGAGTCATATCTCAGAATCCCTTAGACCGATTTTGTTCATTCTTTGCATATGTCTAGTACTTTATGTGAGACATATACACATGCAGTTATTTTATTGATTCGATTCAAAATGGCTGACTGGCAGCTATCTTGTTTTTTGAAAATGTTGTATTTTGGACATGCATTGTCAGTTTTCATTCAAACTTGGTACATAGATTATACATGTCAGAATACATGTCCATGACGATTTATTTCACAATTGGATCAAAGATGGCGACTGGCAGCCATCTTGTTTTTTGAAAATGTTGTATTTTGGACATGCTTTGTCAGTTTCCATTCAAATTTAGTACATAGATCATACATGTTAGGATACATGTCCCAACCGCCTGTGAATTCCTGTGTCTGTCCGTCTGTGTGTCTGTCCGTCCCTGCGTCAATCAGTCCAGAGTCCTGTGGACCGATTCCGTTCATTCTTTGTATGTGCCTAGTACCTTATGTGGGACATATGCACATGCAGTGGCTTACGATTCGATTCAAAATGGCCGACTGGCAGCCATCTTGTTTTTTGAAAATGTTGTATTTTGGATATGCTTTGTCCAGTTGTCATTCAA